GTGGGCTGGTTCGCCTCCCTGACCTTCGTTCCTCAAAGACTTTGTAAACAATGGAATCAAACTCTGTTCCATGATAACTGTGGATTTTGATTGCAGAGGCGACAAGACGTGACTGGGCATGACATATGCTACAAATGACATGACTGAAGACTTATGACGTAACTATTGACATGTCTAGGATTACGAGACATCAACACAACACCACTGTAAGGTTTTGACCCGAGGTGGCGTGACGGACCAAACATATTTACCAACTCTTGAAGGTAATTATTAACATTCCGAGGCGGTGATTTACGGCACTGACAGTAACTGCCACTTAAGGACAACCTTTAGTTTTTAAAATGATACGAGTTGCATGCAGAGAACTGACTACTCTAGCAAGTACACTCACGCGTATACACTCCAGTACCCACATTGAATACACGCAAGCAAACGTTTAAATATTTACCCGCTCGCACAGCCATGAACAAGACGCACACTGAGGCACGTTTTGAGACTCGACTGGTGTTGGTAGACGCTTAAGAAACAGAGGAGACTGAAGACTCCCGTTGACAATAACAATTATATAGTTATCTACCGTTGGCTTATGACATAAGAGGAATGAGGATTATTTGCCTTTGATGATTTTCCACGAATTAGTGTAGCAGAAAATCATTCGTAGTAACTTTCGTCTGCTCAAAAACATCGCCTGCACGAAAAGCCGTCAGTGTCTTCAAGTTACCATGACACGAAAGGGAAGTTACTGTATGAACGTTTACTAATTTTTCTGTCTCTGGTGACGTTTTCTCATTGGTAATTATGGTATTGATCACGTTCATCGTTTTCTTTTTTTTCCTTTTTTATTCCAGAAGGTGGTGTAGGGTTGTGCCTTTTGAACACTGAGCTGATCCAAGCTCAATGTCTAACTGAACCCGAAAACGAACACATTTTCATATTGATGAGGTGAAAGTAGTTCATGGAGGTAAATTAGATTAGGATAGGATACGATAGGATGAGTTTAGGTAGAATCTTATCTTTATCAATGCAAACGTTAATCCACCATAGCAGTTTTATTGCCGATCCTGTACACTCATTTATATTTATTCACTTATATAAGTCATCAAACACATAAAAAACTCAGAATAAACACCACTACCTTAGCAATCTATATTTCATCTTTCATTTCATATTTTAGTATTTTTCCGTGTATATAAAAACACTTCGAAATGATTTGGAGTTGATTAATCCATTGAACTTATATTTATATTTTTATTATACTCGGAAGTTAACCTCTATTTTTTTTTCTGGTCGTTCCTTGACTTTAGGACTGCAAATGTTAATGAATTCCCCATGAAGGAAGTTGACCAGGGCTTATATATGTTAATCGTTACGGTCACACAGACAGCTGTCAATATTGTATCAGAGTCAGGAAAGGTTGTCACTCACTAAAAGAGGGATGACCTTTTCTCAAATTCTTTTTTCTCTTTTTCGTCGCTTCATTACCTTTTCTTTGTTATTTAATACTTATTATCCAAAGTGATTTTGTTTCTCTGTATCTACTTCTCTCTTTCTTTTCCCTCTCACTGTTTTTTTTTCTTTTTCTGTTTTGTTTCCCACCTCCTTAGCTCGTTTTTTCTTTATTCTTTCACTTAATAACTTATTTTTATTTCGTTCCCTGTGGGCAATCATCATCTTTAACTATGATTATTTTTTCTCCTTATGTTATTCTCTGTACGTCTTCTAATCTTCTCTTCTCCCAATTTTCATTTTCTTTGTTTTATCTCTCAGTCAAGCTAACTTTATAGTCTCGTCGTATTGTTTATTTTGTTCATATTCTTCATCATCTTTCTGTTTTATTTTCCATTTTCTTCTCTTTATCTCTTTGTTATATGGTCTCTCTCTCTCTCTCTCTCTCTCTCTCTCTCTCTCTCTCTCCTCTCTCCTCTCTCTCTCTCTCTCTCTCTTTATACTATATTTCAATCACTTCCTTTATCGATAAATTTACCTCACAATCTGGGTAAAAAAAAACAATTGATTTATTTATATTCACATCTAGGTTAAGACTTCAACATCCATGAAATCTAATTTACCTATTTTATATATTTTCCATTATCAATAAATACACTTTTTATTTTCATTTTAGATACAAGTATAAGAGAAATGTAATCGATTGTAGCATTTTCTTCTTCAATTTACTTCAGCTCAATAGTGTGTTATGGTTTCATGCTTGTGAAGATTTGGAAAACATATACAGATGTTCCTTACTCTGTGCTCAGTTGATATATTACACCATGTTTACTAATATTGGTAAACACTGGATGAGGTGTGTTTTCTCAGTGATCAATTTTTAGTTCCATAGCAGTGTGTTTATCGGCTACTTATTGTATTTGTCGTCATGTTGGATACATATTTGATAAGTTTAGTCGCCTGTGTTATGTGTACTGCACCGCCGTTGGCATAACCCAGAGGGAATAGCGTTGACACAAGTGATGATTTTAAGAGGCAGTGTGGGTGTAAAGGTGGATATAAATGTGTGTGTGTGTGTGTGTGTGTGTGTGTGTGTGTGTGTGTGTGTGTGTGTGTGTCACCTGCTATTATACACGTTCATCACTGTTTAAGTCGCTAAATGATTTATATGCACTAACAATTTAATTATACCTGCATCACTCATTATTTTCATTAGAACTTAACTTTTTATCCACGTATTAATTTCTCTGGGGTTAAGGGGAAACAAGAAACTGGTGGTGAGAAAGACGTAAGAGGTAGGAATATTGTGTTGACACTGAGGTGCTGATACGTGGAAGAGTGTCATTGAACGCGCTACGATATAGACGCTAGGTTACCATAATTCATCCTGTAGTACAATTGTTGATGGAGAGAAAGTACTCATTTTGTGTAATACAGAAGGTCTATCATGAACACCCTATCATAGAGCCTCGTCTAAGCAAGTAATAACTTGAAATTATTGACATTTCTTGGAGAATTTCATTAGCCAACAAATAAGACCTGCTAATTGGTTACGCCTAGCGGCCCTAACGCCTGGACACATCGACGTCCCATCCATACACGAAATATACGTGATCGATACCAGTACCCCTTGATCTTGTTGAAATACACTTAACAAAATTTTATATATTATACGCCCCATCAAGTGCTGCAGCAGGGAGGTCCTGTGTGTACCAAATGACGTGGATCCAGGAATGAATTAAAAAAAAAAAATTGCATTTATATATTCGCAGGTTGTTGGGGCGATATTGTCCCCTTGTTATTATCCCCAGGCTTTGAGGATCGTCGGTCTGTGTGTGTGTGTCTGTACGTCTTTTTTTTTGCGATATTATGTGCTTGAGTGTGGGTGTCTCTTTGTGTGGATAAGTTTGCGTGCACAAAGCGTGGGCCTCTGCATGTATATTCGTACGTCCGTCTGTCGACATATCTCTTTCCCAGCAAACAACATATCTACCTTAGTAGGAGCTTCATGAATTAAATTTAATCTAGAAATTTATTTTGAGTTTCATTCAAGTTAATAATCACTCTCAGGCGAGAATTTGTACACAGGCAATGTTTATCTTGATCAACTAACTCACTAACTGGTAATTAAGTCATAAAAATTTATTTATGAACTTTTTATACGTGTTTTAGTCATTATTTTTCCGCTTCCATAAAATTTATTAAAATCTGAACTCTTGAATTATATAAGACTAACTAAATCAAGACACCAATCGCTGTGGGATAATAACCACCAGACAGAGGTAAGTTCAGTCCTCTTTATACTAACATGGTGAGTCTTTCCGTAGATTCAGGCGCAAGGTAAGACAGGTCATCCCAGAAGCTATGCCATATCAGAGACAAACTTGAGACCCACAGTAGAAAGTAGAAAGACCTGCGGTGTAAACAAACTCTATGTAGAGTAGAACAAATAAATCCTAGTTCCTTTAATACATGACTGTATACAAGTAAATGAATCTAACGTTACGCTTTAATAACTCTTTATCAATGTCTGAAAACCAAATCATATAAAACAAGAATGTTCCCCTAGATGAGTTTAATATCTATATTCTTAACAGCTTCTTATCTTACCTCCTGCAGTGACCTTACCTGACGTTAATGTGTGTCTCATAAGGCAAATTCCTCTTTTTACTGTCTCCCTCGTCTTAAACTTACGTGATTCATCTCTGTCTTAACTTTTTTTCTGGATGAAGTAAAATGGTAAAAGTTATCCCGTATAAAATTAGGGGATACAAGCTTAGGCATTAATCATCGACCAATATTTCTTACGTGTGTTAATTAAAATTCTTTAAAACTAACATGTAACAGATTTGAGAGTTTTTGTAATCAACATTAATAATTACTCAGTCTGTATTAGCTGTTATATCACTAGCTAATAACAGTTTACGTTCTGTTTATAATGATCATTTTATCCTGGGAACTTTCTGAATTTATCCAACGGTTTTGACTATATCACATTATCCTTCTTTAAAAAATTGACCACTGTACCATCAGAGACAACAAGTTTAAGTGTTCGTAAAAAACAATACATTAGATCAATAGGATACCTCATAGTGACTAGTCCTGTTCCTCTTATGTACCAGCGAATATAGTAATGTTTTTATATGCTCGAGTTAACATCTGAAATCTATAATGTTTGCCTGTGACAGCAACACCACTGAGAATCATTCTGATCTTAATTCCCTTACTGATTAAATTAACTAAAACCTTAAGTATATCAGTAATTCGATTTTATTTGACAAGTTTACATAGAATCTTACGAAAGCGTATTTCGTAATGTTTACACGAAATAGAAATATTGCAAGTAAATTGTTATTACAGATCATCATCATCATCATCGTCATCGTCATCATCATCATCATCATCATCATCATCATCATCATCATCATCATCATCATCATCATAGTAATGTGTGTTTGCGTGTTTACATGTGTGTATCCTAATTGAATCATTAATATTCTAAACTCTTTGCCATAAGTGTTAAGGATTTTTCCAGGTACTGCCACATAAAGCATTCCACTGGCCAGTCAAGAAGCCACGCCTCCTCGCCTCAGTGTATAAGATGGCCAGCGCAGCTCAGAAGGTCTCGCTGGAGGTCTGATACACTACGTCGTATCACTTACACACCTGAACCACACACTGGAGTTACACACCCGAGCTGCATCTCTTACACCTGTCCACCTGCCACAGTCGTCGTCATGGGAACAATGCTCCTCTTACTTCTAGGTGAGATATATTGATAATACCTCCTTCATTAGTGTAAACACCATTTAGTTAACTATAAGAAAACGGAAAACCTCGCTCTGAAATTATTCGGATATTTATACTCACAAATACTGCAGAGTGGAAAACACACACACACACACACACACACACACACACACACACACACACACACACACACACACACACACACCATGTGTGAAGGTTACTACACCACGTGAGGCCCCCATACCACCATCTGTGAGGGAATTACTACACCACGTGAGGCCCCTCATAACACCATCTGTGAGGGAATTACTACACCACGTGAGGCCCCCTCATAACACCATCTGTGAAGGAATTACTACACCACGTCAGATACCTAACACCATCTGTGAGGGAATTACTACACCACGTGAGGACCCTCATAACACCATCTGTGAGGGAATTACACCACGTGAGGTCCCCCATAACACCATCTGTGAGGGAATTACTACCACGTGACCATACACCATCTGTGAGGAAATTACTACACCACGAGAGGCCCCTCATAACACCATCTGTGAGGGAATTACTACACCACGAGGCCCCTCATAACACCATCTGTGAGGGAATTATTACACCACGTGAGAGGCCCCTCATAACACCATCTGTGAGGGAATTACTACACCACGTGAGGCCCCTCATAACACCATCTGTGAGGGAATTACTACACCACGTGAGGCCCCTCATAACACCATCTGTGAGGGAATTACTACACCACGTGAGGCCCCTCATAACACCATCTGTGAGGGAACTACTACACCACGTGAGGTCCCTCCTAACACCATCTGGGAGGGAGTTACTACACTACGTTTTTGCTGTTCAACATCTACATTAATCTGAATGTTCACTGTATGTTCCTTTACCTTTCTCTAATGAAGGCTTTTGTTAAACCACCAATGTATGTAATAAGTCATTTATGCCCAATGTATATTTTCAGCCTTCGGGCTGCAGAACTTTTTCAATAAACCGTTAATTATTATTATTATTATTATTATTACGGTATTATTTTTGTTATGTGAATCATCCTTGTGGGTCATTACACTCAAGATGGAGTTTTTTTATTCCCTGATGCCAAACATAATATTTTCAACCTTGGACACGTTAATAACAAATAATTTGATGCAAACCTATCGTGTGATGCGTCAGTTATAACTTACTCTATTATGCAAGATGTTATAGTGTGTCTAGAACCGGACTGCAATTGGCATTCTCTTGTGTTAGAAATTTCATATAATGGGTGGTGTACATAATAGTATCGTAGAATATGCAGGAGAATATCAAAGTGAAGAAGAGAGAATGAATGTGTCATAAGCAGAACACGTGGAAGAAATAGCGTTATCCAGACACACCGTTAAGAGACGTGGACACATGTATCTCACCAGTCTGTAATCAGTGACATAATACATCAAAATTTTTACTAGATACGATATATAATTCCCACACTCACCTTCGTCGTCAGAGCTCGAACTGGAAGTTTGATGTTAATTATTGTCGTATAGATACAATTTACGTAATTTTATTTCGTTTCGTGAGGGATTACAGGAGACTAAAAGTTGACCCATAATTTTGAGTGATAAGATTTGCACTGTTACGTTATTTCCAGTGATATAACTATTGCTGGCTGAATTCGTATGTTTATCTGAATATAAATTTTAGTTCTTCTGTTCGCTCAATAATAATATTGATCTTCAAATGTTATTCATAAGTGTGTTTGATATATATTTTTTTGATAATTATGAATACATTTTTGTTTTGTTTTGGACATAATCATCCTATTAACCTTTAAAAGCGACAAACCCTCCAGCAAAATGATGGCAATGTTTGTGTCTTGTTTTTGTCAGTGCTGAGTATTGGAGACCAGACGGCAGCGGTGAAGGTGTTGGTGCTGCAGGAGGACGGCGTCATGACCAACAACTCATGGGCTCAGAGCACCGTCACGGCCCCCCGCACCCCCTCCGCCTCCGCCTGCATCAGGTTCAAGGTCTTTTTCTTTAGGCCGCTGACACACGTGTTTTCTCTCACCTCACGGGAACAGACGAGAGAGATCAACGGAGGTGAGTGTCTCTTTCGTCCCCTGTAGCTCGCTGTCTTAAAACAGAGACATTGGAGACTGGAAGATTAGATGAATGTGTTTTCAGTCTATATTTTTCTAGAGGTATTAATAGTCAAGGAAATTATTCTTCAAATTAACCCACGTCCAGGACTTTTTTGTCATACTTGTTTCGTCCCCTTTTCCGCCCCCTTTCTCACCCCTTTTCGCACCATTTCCGCCCTTTTTCACACCTTTTATGCCCCCTTTCCGATCTTTATTCCCCCTTTTCGCGCCCCTTTCCGCCCCTTTTTCGTCAATTCATGTACAGGAAACGTTAATAGTATTTGTGTGCAGAAGACGTTTACACTTTGTTTACATATGTGTAGGAGACATTGTTAAGGGGAACTCCTATACATACTTAGTCCCAGAAACAGTATCGTGGACACTTTGCATCTCTGTGTTCAGATATAAAAATGTGGTAATAATGGACGTATATGTTATAGTGAAGCAATGGTATGGCACCTACTCCTCCCTCTCTTAATCTTCCTTTTTCTTGCCTCCCTCCTCCTCCCTCTTTTCTCCCCCTCTCCATCTTCCTCATAACCCTCCCCACCACCTCTTTCCTCTCCAACCCTTCCTCCTTCTCCTCCCTTTTTTTTCTTCCCTCCTCCTCCTCCTTCTCTCTTGTTTTCTCCTTCCCTCCTCCTTCTCCTCCCTCTACTTTTTTTCTTTCCTCCTCCTCCTCTTTCCCTTTCCCTCTTCTCACACCAATCTTCCCCACCTCTCGATATTTTTAAATGGTGAACCCAGATGCTTAATCAGCATGTGAAGTAGTACCTTTGTATGATATAACCTCATGTCAGGCGTATTTTTGATATCGAACAACTTTTTTGGGGGAAAGTGGTAAGCAATGTGTTTATATAGTAAAGATAGTCTATATTTTTAAGGAAGTGTATATAAATGTGATTTTAAACTTACGGACACAGCGTAATTGACTTTTTAAATATTTTTAAATATCTTTAATTTTTTCAAAGGTCATTAATTCGCACTAATAACTCGAATTTTTGATATGTGAAATCCGCCAAACTCCAAAACACCTCATAAGCCCAGAAATCCCCCATTACCCACAAAACCTCATAAAATTCTACAAAACCTTAAAAAGAGCCCACAAAGACCTCGAAAATCAACAAATCATAACAAAGCCTCATAAAACCACCCCAAAAACCCAAAGAACACCACAAAGTCTCTCAAATTCTCACAGAAACCCCATAATACCTCACAAAACTCGACCAAAACCCCTTTTTTTTTGGGGGGGGGGGGGAATTTGGGGTGGTTTTTTGGACCTTTTTTTTAAATTATGCTGGGTTTTGTGTTTTTATATTATTGTGGGGTTTTGTGGTGTGTTTGGGGTTATGGGGGGTTTGTGAGCTTTCCTGGGTTCTTTTAAAACATTACTAAATGTTTTATGGGGTTCCTGTGGATTTTGTGAAGTTTTGTAGGGTTTTGTTTGGGTTTGTGTGGTTTTATAGTTTTTCTTTTAGTTTTGTGGGTTTTTGTAAGATTTTCCTTCCTTTTATAGATGTTTTGGAGTTTTGTGGGTTATTGTGTGTGCGTTTTTTTGTGGGGGTTTTTGAGAGGTTTTGTAGTAATTCCTGAGGTTTTGTGAGGTTTTGTTGAGTCTTGGGGGGTTTATTGAGGCTTTGCACCAGTCTTAGTTTTATAATAAAAAATTGCATGAGTCACAATGGGAATGTTGTCGTGGTCTCAGAAGGGAACCCCCACCCCCCCCCACCCCCCCAATGGAAGTCTTCAGGTAAGGTAAGATAACACATCATTTTCTCTCCTCGCCAGAGATCTTTGTGGACTATGTTCGACCCATCGTGTCAGCTGCTTTCTACTTCCTGGGGATCACTGAGCCATTACAGGTATTGACGTGGTACCATTACTGCCTCACCTACGACCACACCCTAGCCCACATCTCTGCCTACCTAGACGGAGAGCTACAAGGGGTCATCTCCAGGAACACTACAAGGTGACTCTTTAAATATATTTTAGTAAGTATCGTTTGTATTTATTCGAGTTTCGTTGTATTTACTGATTTTCTGCATGAACTGATAAACTCGCCATTTTCTACTAATGAAAATTCTTTGTGTGTGTGTGTGTATATATATATATATATATATAGGTAAAGAAAATGAATGCTGGTTTTTAAATTTCACTAGATAGCAGAAGCGGTTAGATATCATAATCACATAATATGGCCGAGTAAATAGGAATTTTAGAATATGTTGCGACTGTGTGATGTCACCAAGGCAAAGTATAGGAAAACATACGTAAATAATTAGACAAAGAAGATGCACAAATCTATTAATAAATCGGGTGGTTTTGGTCCAAGTAGAGAAAATTTGACGGCATTTATCAATGTAGCACCGCAAAAAAAGACTAATAGCGTGAGCCACATGTCTTCACTCACATTATTTTCACAGGTGGTTCGCTGAGGCCACGCTGGTGTTGGGTCAGTACAGTATAGAGTACCTGGACGCTTACACCAAAACTCGCAGCTTTAGTGGCCAGCTGACTCACGCTGGGGTGTGGAGCAGGACACTGTCCCCTGAGGAGATTACCGAACTGGCATCCTGTGGCCCTGATCCCCCGGGACTCACAATTCCCTGGGACCACGAGTGGATTCTCAACAATGCCTCCTTCATTGACCTGCCTGAAGACGAAATATGTGAGAAGAAGACCAATTCATTATATATCAAATTCTCCTCTATGCCTTACGAGGCGGCCCGGAAGGCTTGTGCTGGACTCGGGGGTTATCTGCCGGTACCTCAGAGCCTCGATCACGCTTACGAGCTGATTCGAGTCATGTATGAGGAACCTGTAATGACCCTCATTTGGATTGGCGCCACAGACGAACTGCAAGAGGGTTTTTATATCAACGCTCACACAGGGAAGGAACTAGAGTGGTTTGAATGGGGTAGTAACGATCCAAATGGACTTCAGTGGCAGAACTGTCTCGTATTTGAGTCAGACTTCTTACACGACTATCCCTGCCACGTGAGTCGGACAGCAATGTGCTTCCTTCCCACTCAAAGAAAGTGGACACTCAGAGGTCCCTGTGAGGAAGACACCGCCAACTACAAATACAGTCTCCTGCACCCGGAACAAGGTAAAGTGGAGTTCCGGGGTTACTACCAGTATGAGATCGTTGAGGAGGACGAGTCTTGGGTGTGGCGGAATGTTATCACCGACGAGGTTATCGCTCGACTTCCTTTCGAGGAGGATCGCTGGCCCATGGGACGTCGGAACTGGACGATGAAGAGTGAAGTTTGTGAGAAGAAAGGCACCCAACTGCTTCAACTCAGCTCGTGTACAACGAGCGAGTTTACCTGTATGGATGGTTCATGTGTCTCCCGCTTGAGGCGCTGTGACCGTCGTCCTGACTGTCTCGACGAGAGTGACGAACAAGACTGTCAACTGGTTCATCGACCCATCGGCTACCACCACACCTTACCGCCTCCGAGTAATGTCACTGGTGAGTCGCCGCTTTACGACTATTATTCCAGAATTACATGTCCAGTAAGCCGCTAATTACAATGTAATTTTCCGTATAACAGAATAATAGTGTGTATCGACATCACCAACACCTTTGCCTTGTTGCAGGGTCACCATTGACTGTTGGTCTCAAGATGAAACTGGTGAGTCTTTCTCTGAGTGACAAGGACAGTTACCTGGAGGTCACTTACCATCTCAACATGACATGGAGTGACCTCAGACTCCTCTTCCACAATCTTAAATCTGCTTCCCGCCTCAACCAAGTGAGCACCCAAATTAAGTTTTGCACCAATGTTTACGACTATCTTCTTCACCTGTTCTGTCTCACTGAAAATTTGCACCTAATTTTATGACGTTATCACCACCTGAGTCGCTTCACTGAAGTTCCGCATTTTAAGTTTTGGCCGCCATCTGAACCTAAACTCCTCATGTGAGTTCTCGAATTGATTTTCTTCATACGGGATCATTACCACTGGAACTCTTCAACTCATATTCATTCATCACCTTAGCTTGTTACTTTCACCTTCATCTGAGCACAAAATTAATCACTGGTCTTTAGCTTACAGTGATGACCGTCGACGGGGCACAAGTGATCATACATCTCAGGCCTACATATGCTCTTAACTTCAGCTTAAAACACCCATTTTGAGAGTTTTTCTTAATAAAGTGTCATTTCAGGTCATATAACTATGCTAGATATTCCCCTTTCTTATATATACTGTATATGTGATCATCTGTTTATAAATATTTCCCTCGTGTATAATCACAAGACAAGTAACAAGTCTTAATAGTCCCTTCATGACCATCAACTACTAATAGTTAAACAAATCTTAACTAAATAATAAACATAATTATCATCAGCTCAAGTGTTTTATCCGTGTGCTTTGGTGTTGAGGTGCCGGTGGGGGAGCACAGCAGACTGTGGACCCCGACTCTAACTCTAGTGAACGTGAGAGGGACGGAGAGAACCATGGTGGATGATGAGGCCGTTCTTACCATTCACCGCAAGGGCCAGCCTCTAGACGATGACCTATCCATGCCCGAGGACGGTGAGGAGGGGGCGAGGGGAGGATGGTTGGGAAAGAGAGAGAGAGAGAGAGAGAGAGGAGTGTGTTAGGTGGATAAAGGTAGGGCGTGGGTAAGAGACATATAGGTACGGTGTGTGTGTTAGATATGTGTAAGGTATAGACATAGAACTGGAGGATGAAACAAGTGTGTGGTCAGTGAAGTGTGAGGGAGATTTGGTTAGTTGCAGATGATACTAGAGTGCGTGAGACACCTGTATAGAAGGAAATACTTAGTAAAAAAAGGCTGTAAAGATGATAAAGTGTGTGTTTAGGAGTTGGACAGGTGTGTAGGAAAGGTATGTGGAGGTAAAGACGCCGAGTAAGTGTTAGGGGAGGTGCTATAAATGACATGGTCTAGGATCGTGTTGAAAGCACCAATAATGTAATGAGACATGTAAACGCGAGACAACATCAATTTAGAGAGATAGATAGATAGATAGATAAATAGATAGACCTACCTACCTGCCTGCCTACTTCCCTCCCTAAATACCGACTTACCTACATACCTACCCTACTACCTACCTCCCTCCCTCCCTCCTCCCCTCCTGCCCTCCCTAACCACATACCCACTCACCTCCCCCTCCTCCCTCCTACTTACCTACATACCCACCTTCTTCTCTCCTCCTTCCTCTTCTCCCTCCTGCCCTCCCTAACTACATACCCCTACCTCCCCTCCCTCCCCTCCCTCCCGCCCTCCCTCCCGCCCTCCCACAACACTACATACCTACCTCCTCCCTCCCACCTCCCTCCCTCCTGCCCTCATACCCACATACCCACCTCCCTCCCTCCCTCCCTCCCCCTACCTACTTACCTAGGATCGTGTTGTAAGTACCTATAATGTAAAGACAGACACATGTAAACGCGAGACAATATCAATTTAGATAGATAGATAGACTCCTAACTCTATCATCATCTACAGTCAATGTTTACCTTGGGATCGAGAACCACCTGAGTGTAGAGAGGAAATACACGTCCCAATTCCTGTGTGATCTGAACCTTCACCTGTATCCCTTCGACGTGCAGAGGTGCTTCATGGACCTCGAGGTGCTCTCCGCCGCTACAGACTTCGTGGTGCTGGAAAATAACTCCTCTCAAGTCTCTTACGTCGGGGCCAAGCTGCTTATTGAGTACACAGTAAGTCCTAGTGTGTAAAGGAGATGTAGTTTTCCCCCTTTAATTCTATTTAAAATACACACAGACATACATTGGTACACACTGATATACAGACATACACAGACAGGCACAGGTGCACACAGACACAGACACACACACATGCAAAATCCTACTGTATTAGCCAAATCTGTTGGAAAACGCTCCTCTACACACCAACATTCCTCACCTCAATACACTCATTTTCTCAAGACCCTAAACAATCTTATCTTCACCTGTGCACATCCCAGCCTCCCCTAAATATCATTACCTTTATCCCTATATTTCGCCTCTTTCCCCAACTTCTGTACATTCCTCTATCTCCACATGCCTCTCCCCGTCTTCCTCTCCGAGTTATCCTATACATTCCTTTCCGTATCATCTCTCATTATTAGTTTGTTCTTCCCTACGCATCTCTCTCTTTTGCTCGTAATTCACACCACTTGCCCCTTTACCTCCTGTATCGAAGTTTGCGCTTATATGTCCTAAGGTTGTTGTTATCCCACAGAGCTGACACCAGTCTGTACTACCGTATGTTATCATCCACCAGTGTATTGCTTTAAACCATTATAGTGCCTTTGTGGTTAGAATATCCCGCACCACGGATTCCACTTTATCTCTGTATATGAGTTTATTCCACCAACTGACACCATTATAATTGGGATTAATATTGCACAAACGACAACAGAATGTCAATAGATCATACCACTATTTACCATTGTGACCAGATCACACTAGCCCTTATCATTACTGTGACTTGTAAAACTATATTCATACTTTTGACTATTACCACTTTATTTTCTTTAATTATCCAGCCAGACAAAGTAATGCACTTAGTTTTGAGCAGAAGGCAAATAATTAATGTTGGCAGCACCAACTGAAAAAAATGATAAAATCTATATTTACCTTATCTGAATGACGAAAAAACAAACAAAAGGTTATGGAATTAAAGAATTCATTGCTTGCAAAGATGAGGGTTAAATCAGTACTCAAATCAATTAGAAAAATAGATTAATAAAAAAAAAGAACGTGTTATCACTTTTCAATTAACTTTCCATGGTTTATTACATAAATTTCTCACTTGGTTGAACCTACAAGTTCTTGCTCCAAGATATAAATACACTGTTTCCTTCCACTGATATGCTCAAAATACTTGAGAACCTCTGGGCGGACATATAGCTAATCTGGCACCAATCTTAACAGCTCCACTTTACAACTGTGCAAATAACTGTTCTGCACAGAATCTCCTTCAAGACATAAACCCCAGAAAATACTGTTTATTTTTTGTTCCTAATATAGATAATAATAATTCATTTGAATCATTTAAAATCACTTTACACAGAATCATTCAAGTAGTGAATGAATTCACAGAAATAACACTCAAACAATTCATATTAATAATAAACTAATACTTTGTTTTTCATTGTTCCATATTCATTTAAAGTGGAATTACTATAATATCTTTATTCACTATTGACTAATTATTTACTTACTCTTTGAAATCAATATTAGCTTTAAATTAATCATCACACAAAACACATCCAAACATGATTGAAAGAATTCTTTTGTTTACAAACTGAGTCTCAACAATTTTACTTTCAATATATCACCTAATAATTGATTTGTATAAAATATAATTAACTGCACATCAATTACTGATCAATAGATAGAAAATTAAGAGTTTATCTTACCATTTCTTTTGGTATCAACACAAAATTTTTAAAACTATGAGAAGGAAATACAACTACATGTTGCCTGTCAAGATATAAACAACAAAGGCAGCTCCAGCTCTCACTCACGAAGAGGCTGGTGGTCGCATCCTGTTAACAATTCCAGTTCACTAATAATTATGATTGACAATGTTTAAAACTCTGAATAAACTCTTCTTAGATATGTTACAGTTATAATGACTCCACATGCTGGGCCTGACTTAACCCTGTCCACTCCCTTACAACAACACTCCAAACTTTCCACAAACTTTTCCCTCAGTAACTCACAATTTATAAACTAGTCTGAATTATTTATAGGTGGTCAGTTATTCCACAATGATCTACAATAATCATTAAGTTATGTTATAATTAACATTTAAAAAGTTAACTTTGTGTATTACTGATAAAATTACATACGTATTACAAAAAATACAAAGCTTTACCAAGATACAGAATTACTGCACTTCACTCATTTTACATAAATTTTCAAAATTTTAAGATACATTTCATATTTGCAAATGTTTTTCAATCATCAGAATTTCTTCTCCATTACATTACATTACATTACATTACAATTAGTGATAACTTTACAATTCTAGTGTTTAACTAAACATTGGTCTACCAGCTGGTTTTTCATTCTCTTTACTTTCATATTAAAAACATATTTTAGAAGAATAGAAATTAAGTTTTTGGTGTAGATTTACATAAAATCAATTCAACATCATTACACTCCATGCATATTTTTCCTTCCCTCTGTTTATTTCTCCTTCTCATATCTGTCTCCCTCACCATACATTCCTCTTCTCAGCCACACACCTGTCTCTACCTAGTGCTGCATATCATGCGCTTCAGAGGTGAACGTATGGAGTCCCCGAGTTTTTCTATCAGATAATCGTCTTTATGTTCCATTGTTCCATCTCCCTCTTACCACATCCCTCCACATCCCAAACACAACCCTCTACTCATCTCAAAACATTTTCATCAAGCATCTTAGGCTTTTCTTTATCTAGCGTCTTCCATGGTGTAAGGAACGTCTTTTTTTGTGGTGTAAAGGCGTAGACATGACCCACACTTCTGCTCCAGGTGGTGAGCGTGGCACTGCAGATCAACAACAACAAGACACTAGCAGAGGCAGAGGTGGAGGTATTGTTGCAGCGTCGTGTGGGTTATCCTATCATCTCCATCTACGTGCCCACAGTTATTCTCCTCATCCTCGCTTACCTCTCCCTCATCTTCAGGAGAAACAACTTCGAGGCCAGGGTAATGTCAGCCCTCACCGTCCTCCTCGTGTTGGCTGCCCTCTTCACTCAGGTCAGTCCACAAGAGACTAAGGTGCCTGGTGTCGTGCCTGGTATCTAAAAAAGAAAAGTCATTTAGCAAATGAATATGTACTTAGTTGATTAAATACAGAGTGAGCCTGTATATATATAATAAATAAATAAATATATATATATATATATATATATATATATATATATATATATATATATATATATATATATATATATATATATATATATAAATAATTATATTTGCAGACGTCGACGTCCTTGCCCAAAACGTCCTACTTCAAGATGGTGGACGTGTGGCTGCTCTTCAGTATCTCTCTCATTTTCTTCGTTATCGTCTTTCATGTAATCATCGACATGGCGAGCGAGGGTAAATTTATCAGTATGTCCAGTAGATCATTGTCTCCCGTGAAGGTCGCCCCAGTTGGCGAAGTAATTCCAGTGGTGTCGAAGGACGCTCCTGGCCACCTCCCTTCCATCATCTCTCGCTGGCCCTTGTCCATAGATGGAGATACAGACGAGGAGAAGAGCAAGAAGCTGTCCGACAAACTCTTCAGGCAGGCGCTGATCTTCATCCCCTGTTACTTCTCAGCCTTCAACTTTATTTACTGGCTCTATATATTTGCATAGTGTGACCCTCTTACCTATACATATGGAGTCAGAGAGAGACACACCTACTTAGAACTTTTAATATTCCACATCTGAAATATCTATTCTACATTTTCAAATAATCACAATACGGTTGACACTATATATTTACGCTTTTGCTATATATGGATATTCTATGATGTATCTGGCAATTGTGTCTCTGGTATAGCCTATGGGTCTGTATACACACATGTACTGTATTCAGACAGTAAGAGTTCTTTATAGTTAGTAGGACCAGCCGTTGTATCCACAGCATGATGGACTTACTTCCCTTGTCAGTCAGTTCCTTTTAAGATAAGCTTTTTATTTTAAGCTATATATAAAATAAACATCATCCACATCACTTGTGTGTAAATAAATAAGCTGCACTAGAAAGTTTACAGCCACTAGTTCCCTCCCACACACAGTATCGAGTGACTCCCAGGGCGTCTTCATCGCCGATCCAGGGTAACACAGCTCATTACATCACTCCTTCCTTGATCATACTATACGGTTCTATACTTACTGGCTGCTCTTCTACTAACTCACTGAAATTTTTCATTCTGTAGTGTTTTCTGGTGATGTGTAGTTATTTAACTTATACTTATCAGTCACAACGTTGAGCAACAAAAGATTTATCTAAAAAAAATGCAATAAATTTTAACATTGATCTATTTTGACGGCTTTGAAAGGCTCCTGCTGAAGATTCTTGATAAAATGAATTTTAACTTTTATTAAACAATGCGCTCCTCTCAGTCTCAGACCTCCATAAAATATAATGGTATGAAAGTGTGGAACAACTTACCCCCACCCATCCAAGCAAAGACTATGCTCCCTTCCCTTAAATCATCTCTTAAAAATTATCTATGGTCAAAGTATTAATATTTTTGTAACACAATGTTGTATTGCTTCCCTCACTTATCAGACTAATGTATATCAACTGCACTGTAAAATATGTATGTACTTATAATATGAATGTAAAAAAATAAAATACAATAAAATAAAATAAGTAAATTACTAAGTGATAATCGTGATAACATTCTAATGTGTACTTACTAACACCATGTTACGTGTACTGTACTATTCCAGATAATACTAAATGTTACATAGTAGTTCTTTGAGATACATGTATTGGAGTACAGTACAAGTACACACAGTGCTTGTTCATAGTCTCAGTTTACATTCACAGTATACCATGTGAATCTTTAATCTCCACATACAATACACTCATAGTGCTTTTCATATTTGTTTGTTTTTTTCTCAAACTCTTAAGTGGGGCAAATTTTATATCCCTCCCCCTACAGGAATTGCCTAGCTTATACTACAGGTAGTCAAGGGGCGACTTAATTGAAGTTTATAAACAACTGAGAGGGCATTACTCAGTCGAGGGTTCATACCTGGAGCTGGGGGACGTGCCCCACTAGCCTAGCGGGGCGGGTGGTCACAGCTTATGGTTGAAGAAGCCACAAGTTCGGAAAATTGTCAAGGCAAAGTTTTTCTGAGTTTGTAAACTCTTGGCACACTCTGCCAGAGAGTGTGACAGCACCGAGAGTGAGCTCCTTCAAGACCAGACTTGACCAACACTGGCGCAGGTGCAGATACATTCTGGAGCCAGTTTTTGCCCAGTACTTGCCAATAACGACATGCAGCCTGTCTGGCATTGAGGATCTGTTTGGTGGGGTTCTTGGCCAGCCAGATATTTGCCTCAGCCCAGCCAGCCATTCACCTCAGCCAGCTAGCCATTCACCTAAGCCAGCCAGCCGTTCACTTCGGCTAGTCAGCCGTAAACCTCAAGCCAGCCTCAGAGAGCCAAACAATCTAAAATAAATAACAAACCCTTCCCGGCATCCACACACTCTACCTCCCATCCACCCACCCTTCCTCCATCCACATACTCTACCCCTCATCCACACACCCTACCTCCAACCACACACCCTTCCTCCCCTCTACACACCCTAGAAATAAAAATAAATTAATATTTGATGATTTTGATATTCTTCATGAGCAAAGAGCGAGTCATCAGTCGAACATTAACTCTCGTCTCACGGCCTAAAACCCCTAATAATAATAATAATAATAATAATAATAATAATAATAATAATAATAATAATAATAATAATAGTAATAATAATAAAAATAGTAATGGAAGTATTACGCTTATGCTAACAGTGGAAGCCAACTGCTTGTTTGGTTGTGGACTAGTTTAGTGAAGTAAGAGCACATCGTTGACGAAGCTTCGAAACTCATGACTATCTTTCGTTAATAATTATCAGTTTTATTTTAGCTAATGGTGGATAGAAGTGATTTAAGAAAATTAATGAGATTATAGATGACGGACCAATCGTGTATGGTGTTCTTTCCGCCGTCCAGTCGATTATTTTCATATGAATCAGTAAAGCGAACCAATGAATTAAGGAATCGAAGCACCTCGGGTTCGCCACTCGCCAGTGATCATTAGAGGTACGGCAGTGTGGCGGCAACATGTGTGTGTGTGGTCAGACAGTATTTGATCGCTATTTCCATGTTTTACGTTTGATGTTTGTGGATTACCTCGTGTTTGTGGCGTCGTGAGGACTTCCAGGACTCTACGTTGTGGTTATTAGCAGTTGAGTGAAGGTAAGCTGATAACAAGTTGTGTTGTTGTACTGTGGGGCCCAGGGAGGAGGAGGCGGTAGTGTAGCTCTCAGCCGAGTGTACAGGAGTTGTGGATGCCGTGGCTCGGACAGAAAATACTGCTATTAAGATGGCTATTAACCAAAGTTAGCATGTGGTATAGACAGATAATATTGCTATTAAGATGGCTATTAACCAACGCAAGTATGTGGTATAGACAGATAATACTGCTATTAAGATGGCTATTAACCAAAGTTATCATGTGGATAGACATATAATAGTATTATATGTCAATCCACATGATAACTTTGGTTAATAGCCATCTTAATAGCACTATAAACTTTCCATTGGCTATGAGGTGACATGTTCAATACACGTGATAAGGTGTGCCCACGGGAAGCTGCGTCATACTATGCTGAGTAAAGGCATAAAGTAGCCGGCTCCTGGCCACCTAAAGCGGGCAGTAGCTTGATATCCTTGACTAGAGGAAGACGTTATTTGAGAGCCGCAGTGGATGGCTCCTTTTTCCTTCGAGGGAGGACGACGCGTCTATTCCGTTCTCCCTCGATGGGTCACTACTCAGAGTCTCACTCACAAACTTACATCGTACGGACGTTGATTCACGTCTATTTACATAGACGCCGTCCTTTCTTATCACACTCATAAATAGTGGAACTTACGGTTGATCTACACTCAGGAATTATACAAATAATACTTTTTAATAAAAGAAGAAACTTCAATTGGGTTTCGTTACTAAAGCCTAATAATAATATACATTAACCAACCTGGTTAACTTTAACTTAACCAGCCGGTTCATGTTTGCCTTATTTCGAACATTAACACACTGTTTTCTAGGCCGTAGGTCCGTGCTTACAAGTACCCCTAAGTCTCTTTCAAAAGTCGACTTGTCTAGGTTGATGTTTTTAAGGCTGTATATATTGATAGTATTTGTTCTTCCAAAACTAAGTACGCTGCACTTGCTGGTGTTGAATTTCATTTGCCATTTTACTGACCACTCCTGCAGTTTATTTCAATCTGCCTGTAGGGCATTTGCATCCTTCCCTGAATTAACCTGCCGCCCTATTTTGGTGTCATCCGCAATCTTACTTATGTCACTGCTGATTCCAGTATCTAGATCGTTTATGTAGATTATGAACAAGAGTGGGCCCAGTACAGACCCCTGGGGAACCCCACTGGTTACACAGCCCCACTCAGATTTAACACCGTCTACGCTGACCCTCTGTGTTTTATCGGTAAGCCATGATTTTATCTAATTTAGAACTTTCCCCTCGATACCATGAGCCTTTACTCTTCTCCGAAGCCTCTGATGTGGTACTCTGTCAAACGCTTTGCTAAAGTCTAAGTAAATAACATCGTAATTTTCGTCATTATGTACTACCTCGAAGACTTTCCGAAAAAAAAAACGTCAGCTGATTTTTAGACAAGATTTTCCCTTTGTAAACCCTTGTTGAGAATCGTAGATTAATTTGTTTTTCTCTAAATGCGATCGGATGTTATTTTCTATAATTGATTCAAGAAATTTCCCCACTACTGACGTCAAAGTAATCGGCCGGTAATTTGACGCTGATGTTCTGTCACCCTTTTTGAATATGGGTACTACATTTGCCCGTTTCCACAAGTCTGGCACAGCACCCGTGTCTAATGATTTTGAAAATAAATTTACGAGGGATCCACTAGTCTGTTTCTTACACTCTTTCAAAACTCGAGGGAAAATTTCATCCGGCCCTGGGGATAGTGGTATTCTTTAATTTCTCTTCTTCATATCCCTAAATATCAGGAGAGAGAGTGTGTGGATGCGAGGAAGGGTTTGTTATTTATTTTAGATTGTTTGGGTCTCTGAGGCTGGCTTGAGGTTTACGGTTGACTAGCTGTAGTGAACGGCTGGCTGGCTTAGGTGAATTGCTAGCTGGCTGAGGTGAATGGCTGGCTGGGCTGAGGCAAATATCTGGCTGGCCAAGAACCCCACCAAACAGATCCTCAATGCCAGACAGGCTGCATGTCGTCATTGGCAAGTACTGGGCAAGAACTGGCTCCAGAATGTATCTACACCTGCGCCAGTGTTGGTCAAGTCTGGTCTTGAAGGAGCTCACTCTCGGTGCTGTCACACTCTCTGGCCCATCAGTCGCACCGTCGTAGCCATGAACGGCAGAGATATGGTCGTTGTAGTGCTTTTCTTAACCCGTTTCTCACCATGCTTAATAATATTAACTATCTTCATGACATTCTTATTGTTATCAGTGATTGAGGAATTCACGATGTTATGCTCCACCTACATAAATCCTGTTACTAGACTATCCCCTCCTCCTCTTCCCCCACACACACAACAATGGGCGACATCTGTTGGCCGACCATAGCATATCCCCCAGCTGTTTCGAAACTTCAGACTCAAGGCAATTCGAACCCTCACTGTGGCTGGGTAGTGGACACGACTTTGGTGCACGATAGTACAGTATATATGAGGTGCCACTAAGAGAGCTCAGACTTTCAATTGGCTGAGCCATGTCACTATTTTTATTATCATCCACTCTGCATGTGTATTTTTATGGCTAAATAAACTATTTCAATATCAATATATCAATAAGTGTCCATGTGAAGAGCAGCATTCAATGAATGTTTATGAATGCGAGACAGACTTTTAACTATTTGTGAGTTTTGGGCTGATTCATCTGAGTTATTTTTTTAGATTACTTCTGGGTCGAAGCAAAAACAGAGCCAGTTTACGTGTGCTAGAACATTATTGCATTACCCACACTTACAGTATATTACAAAATCATATACGAGTAGAAATCTGGTCATATAGTGGTAAAGTTCATTTATAACAAAATAAAGAAGTTACCAATGAATACTATTTGTTTTCTATGATACAAACTAAAGAGAATGGAAATATATGGATAACCCACATAATTATCAAAATAAATTGACATAAGTATTTTACACGGGCGGATCCCGGAGGGGTGGGTCCTTTTGTTTACTTTTTACTTTTATCATCTTCACCACTGATCGGCTCGTTAGCCGCTTGGGCGATCGGTTACGTCTCTGTTACTCACTGTTAGCAAGTACTGGGCATGCACTGGCTCCTGAATGTATCTGAACCTGCTCCAGTGCTTATCCAGTCTGGTCTTGAAAGCGCTCACACTCGACGCCGTCACAACACTCTCTGGCAGATTGTTCCATGAGTTCACAACTCTCACTCCGAAAAAGTCACCC